CACTGGCGTTCCGTTAGCTCACTATGTAGCATGCTGGACAACGGAGCGAATGGTCGGTCCTGGTTCGAATCACGGACTGGGCGTTCTTGAATTCGGGTCTTTTGTGAAGTTTTCAAGGCTCTCAACCCATATTGCTCAGTCCTATCGGAGACGGACGTTACATCGGAGGTCTCGCTTATTAAATGACCTAATAGCGTTGATAGAGGCCTTAGTTAACCCATGCACTTGCTTTATTATTTTTAAAATTATTTTATTTAACAGATGCTCCACCACAATGTGCTCTCCTGAGGCTGGAGAGTTGGGGCTGGAAGTTCTTCAGTAGGCCTGTGTTGCCCGTAGCTTGGATCACATCCATGTCTGTGCACAAAGACGAGAGCGGAGGGTATTGCAAGCCCGAGTCAGGCTACGGATTCTCTAGGAAGGAGGTCTGGGTGGCACATGGCTGCCGCGGATTGTTGAAGATTTGTGCATTGAAAGGTATGTTGGTTGGGTTTTTTTTCTATGCTTCTTTGTTTAGTTTGTTTTATGATTTAGTAAGAGATCTACAGCACTTGCATCATGATTGGGTCATATAAGTGCCGAAGAGCAGAGGTATCACTGGAGAGTAACTTACAAAGAAAAGAAGGAAAGGAGAAAAGGACTATAGATAAGCTATTAGGGGGAAAAAGTAGCAACGGACACCAACCAATTTTTGAAGTCTTCACAGCTCTCAAGCCACTCGGCTTGGTCCTATCGTAGACGGGCGTTAAACTTACAGGTCCCGCCTTTTTTATGACCGGTTTTATTTTTAAAAAAATAATTTAGTAAGAGTTTAACGGCACTTGCAACACAATAGGTACCGGTAATATAAGTGCCGAAGATGAGAGGTGTTACAAGAGAATAACAAACACAAAAAAAGAGGGAGGGGAGATAAGGATGATAGATGTTGGATAGGAAAAAAGGAGCAAACCATTAGAGCACCCGCCAACCACCCGGTTTATATAACCTAATAGTGTTGGCAAAGATTCTCTACTACACGGTCTTTGGTGTTGGTAGGGGTGTTAAACCCATAGACAACATCAACTAACTTCCCCCCCCCCTCTCCCGTTGGTTCCCCCATCCAGCCAAGTGTGTGGTGAAGACGCTGAACAGCAACAATTACGCCTTCGCCTCCGAGCAAGTGCCCGAAGCCTGCTACGTCTCTTCCATGGAGGTGAAGAGCAGAAACGGACCGCCTTGCGTGGCTGATGTCAACTACGGCTTCACCGGACCATACGTCTGGGTCAATGGAGGCTGCCGGGCCGAGTTTACCATCTGCTACGTGCAGTAAAGTCACCTGTGACCTGTCACGTAATCGATACTGAATCCTTGTTCGAAGGAACACTGCGTTTAATACTTAAGCGCCATACAGTGCTCAGGGCATTCCTTGATATTATTATCGACTATTCAGTTAGACCCTACATTTTTTTTCTCTTCTTCCTTAATTAAATAAGAACATTTTTCCATTGCTTAAGAAGCTGAAAAGTTTTCTTTCGCTACGATGTTATCCAGAATAAAGTATAATGTTCTCTGAAACGCTTCTGGTCAGCGTCGATTTTCTATAGGTTAAGAAGTTATTTTGAAGTTGTGTGAGCTTCCCTTAAACAGAAAGAGAGAGAGAGAGAGAGAGAGAGAGAGAGAGAGAGAGAGAGAGAGAGAGAGAGAGAGAGAGAGAGAGAGAGAGGGAGAGAACGACAGAACAAGTACACA